AAAAAATAGAATAATAAATATTCAAAACAAAAAATATATATATTAATTAAAAATTTGAGGATCAAATTTGATACAATTAACAAATACTATGATATTTTTAAATTTTTCATAACTTTTAAAAAGTGTTTTTTACCTAAATGTTTCAGGAAAATACTTTTCTATAAACCAAATCAAATTTTTCTTGAATAGAAAAATAATTTTCGTTGATCAATTTTTTTAATGAAAAACAAACATAAAAAATTTTAAAAATAATTTTTCAGAAATTACTTTACAAGAAATAAATATAGCTTAAAAGAAAACATATTTAATACAACTAGCAGAAGTGGTTATATATATATATATATATATATATATATATATATAGAAGGTCACTGTTTTGAGAAATCATAGTTTATTTTAACTTTATACAATCTCTAATTATTTATAGATTTTTTGGTTTTATTTATTTTAATAACTAAAAGATCGTGAAGCATAGAAATAATAAAATTATTATCCATGATTTATAATTATAATAACATTATCAAGGGCATTCCTTTTATAGCATCGGCATTCTTACGAAATGAAAAGTCGGGTCTTTTTTCTCAAGATATGTATACAAGGCGAGGGAGCTCGTTTCCTTTCACGTCGTGGCCTTCATTGTGACCAGAAAATACTTGAATCACACCAGGGTGATCCCTGGTATTGTTTCTAGGCGAAGGTGTCCCATCTTGCGTCATCCACCCATCTGAAGGAACCTTCTGTGCATTTGCTACAATTACATTTATCCTAAGCTTGAGTTACTGACGGACCTGATCCGTTTCCAAAAGACTCGTATTCCTGCGAAAATATGACTACAAGAGGATCCTCTACATCCTCCTCTTCAACTGCCAGCGTGAACATGACAGCCCTTGATGGTCTGGTGAATTTGAACTCTCTTTTTGCAATCGCCGTCTTCGTTGGTCTCTTTCCTACAACCCTAAATCATCACAGCCTCGAAAACCGCACACCTGCGACGCAGGCATTGACGTGGCCAAGAATCTACTAGTCTTCGAGGCTGTGTCCTTCAGCTTCTTCCTCGTGTCTTACCTCATAGCACAGGGACTAAAACTGGGTTTTGAGGTTCGGGATGATGGGTTCGGCTATTGGTTTGGTTATGGGTTGTGTGCTTTTGATGCTGTCAATGATTAATGTGATGGGGATTTTGTCTTGTGGGAGTAAGGGAAGGAAATTCTGTTTTCAAATAGAAAAATCCTTGGAATTATTGGGGATTTATCAATAAAAAGATTTGTATTACTAAATTTGGGCGATGGGGATTTCTTTGTTTCCTCATCACAAATGATTGATTACTTTAACATTGTTTTAGTTTTTTTTTTTGTTTTTTTCATTTAAATTTGTTTATCCTACTTTAATGACCTAAGTTATATGTTAGTAAATTAATTTATTTTTTAGTTAAATATATCTTTTTAATTTTATCTTTTAACCTGAATCACGAGTTTAATATATTAATTTAAAGTTTTTTTGTTAATTAATTGAGTTGACTCATGTTATTTTCTTGTATTTTTTGCTTAATTATTTTTTTTAACTTTTATCATTTATTAGTAAGTTGATTGTAAATTTAGTTTTACAATTTAGTTTGATTTTTTTTTTATAAAGTTTATCTTGGTCATATAATCTGGACTGCGAGTTTAACAAATTAATGTAAGTTGACTTAAGTTGTTTGTTTTTTTGTCATTTTTAATTGATTTTTTTAATTTAATCCTTCAATATTGGGTTAATTAAGAATTAAATTTCATAATTTATTTTGATTTATTTTTTATTAAGTTATCTCAGTCTTACGATGATCTACGACTTTAAACCAATTAAAAGGAGTTCTAATGATCTTGTGGATTTGACAGGTTAATTCGGGATAACTTGGATCAATCTAATAGTATTCATCTCAATATTTTTTTAAGAAAAAAATATATCTTAAATTTTTTTAATGGAACTACCCTTTTACTATCCTTTTAATGATCATCCAAGTTATTTTTTAATTTATCAAGTTAATTATATCACATTAAATTAATCTCTATATGGTTTTTTTTTTCTACTTGAAAATACATTATTAACACTTAGATTTTGTTTATTATTAAAACAATTGATCTACTCTTTACAGTTGTGTGGTCAATATCTAATTGTCATTGAAAATCTCTTCTATCTTATAATTAATTGTTTCCTTTTATATTACCCTGATTTTTATATAGATATCATGTGTTGTAGTCATCCATGTCCATTTTTATTATTATTTTTTATTTTCTTTTGTTTCATATTAATAATCTTTGTTTCTTTTTCATCTTGTGTGAACATCTCTTCGTCTTGTCTATCCAAAACTCTTTTTAGCTGTCTGCGACCGACACTACTTGTCCATTCCATCTTATAGTCTTTCGTGGCTTCTCTTCCTTGGCAGCTTGACTATAAGATTGTGCTCAAACGCTTTACCCCTAGGCAGGCCCGGCGCTCCGTTATGATGTGAGGGAGCCCATGGCCACCCAAATTTTTTTTGTGGTGAAATTTTATCGCTATATTTTAGACGACTCCAATTAAATCCGTATAATTTCATCCATGTATCCATGATTCTTTCAATTAGGTTCCTCTAAAAGGTCAAAACATGAACGGCTAGGCATTCAAGGTGATGCAGCATACTGCAAATAATTGTTTGTAGTTTTTGTTTTCGGTTCAATGCCTACAGATTGTAATCTCAATTGGGTTGTTCTCAGTTGTTCCCACTGGATGTTTCATTAGACATGAAAGGATGCACATTGGATCATTCAGTCGGGAGTCTACCATGGTGGGTTTGCTAACTACTACTTCTGAAAGTGGAGATGATGATGCTGCAATTTTACAGATGAAAATGAACAACATGGGAAGAAAGAATTCTACAAGATGACATGGAAGTATTGTATAGTAGTTTTCTGTGTGTAGTTTTATGGAATATGGTAGAAGTACATTTTAGGTTGGATTCTCCTTAATTTGATTTTCATCCCATTTGGGTTAGTCCTGTTTTGATGGAGGATTTACTTTGATGACGTGCTTCTTTGTACTTTGATTTTCATATTAATGAAATCTTTTATCGGTTTTGAAAGGGAAAAAAATGGAGCTATTTAAGAAAAAAAATTAATCGATCATTTTTAAGCATTTTTATAAAGATATTTAAGAACAGTAAATTTGAGTATATAAATTATATAAAGGAAAAGGTACTTTGACCCTACTGCAATTTAAATACTTTTCACTTTGCTTCTATTTTTTTATATATTACAGTTGACAACCTGAAATTTATACATTTATAGTACTTTGCATATCCTCCCTCATGTATATTAAAAAATAATCAATAAAAAAATTAAAATATTTATAAAATTGTCATTATAAACAGCTTTCATATTAAATATTATAACTTTATCTTTAAAAGAAAAGGGCCCCAAGAATGGAGCCCTTGAATTGCCTGCGAGAAGGATGCTGTAAAAGAAAACTAGGAAGGGAAGAGGGAAAGGGATGGCTTAGATTCTTAAACATAATCAATTATTAGACACATGCAATTACGAATTCGGAGGTGGATTTTGGTAAACTAACAAAATATAATGGGCAGCACCAGAATATCGAGATCGAAATCAGATTTGGTGTAGAGAACTTCACTCTTGTAATCCTCCATGTTAGATTGACTCAGGCAAGGTGACTGGGACACATGCTGGATGAATTTGAAGGTGTTTATGGTGAAGGAACAAAACATAATGGAAATTCTCCATGTTTGATTGACTCGGGCAACGTGATTGGGACTGAGCTATGTTTGAAGAAGACAGAATGAGAATTTATGGTCAATAATTTGTTGATATTTTTAATATATTATATACGAGGATAGTTTAATTTTTTCATTTCATTTTAAAAAAGGGTTTGATACAAGATATCACAGCTAATTTCTAAAGGAATAGAGAGATTAAAAAAAATAACTAAATTACATATTAATGAGGGTAATTTTCCTTGATATATTTTTTTTTAAAAAAAAGAAATGTTCTATTCTCATCAAATATTAATGAATAAATTGTTTAAAAAATTTTACTTATCATAATAATATATAATTATTAAATAGAAATCGATAATTATGTAATAAATTAGATAAATGCTTAAATATCATTCCAATAAATTAATTTAAAAAATATTTTTTATATAACAAAATATTTTGAAAAAGAGCACCCTAGACACGTGC